CTTCAAGCAACTAAAGCTACATAAAATATGTTCACAAAAAAGCCTATGTAAATAAAAAAAAACAATCTTTAATTTCAGTATGCGCTGGCTGGCAGGGGACAGGCCAGAAGACATCTTTATGCATACCATATGTATAAAAAATAGGGAATTTTGTTGGTATTTAAAGAAAAATGACTTACATTCATATAAAGTGTAAATAACTAGGCTAATTGGGAGCAGAAAAAAGATAAATATAAGCTATCCTGTCTTTGCAAATGCTGATATTTCTCTTTTTTTACTGCTCCCAGTTATCTTTCAGGTGTCCAAAACCAATAATACAAATAATGAGGTATTCTGTGTGTTTGTTTGCTTATTCCCTTTCTCTTGTCTGTTCACGTAGGCCCATGGCTGTTTGTGAGAGCCTTTTTTTTCGTTTGAAAACGTCTTGAAAAATATAACAAAAATACTGTGAAGTTCGCCTCACAATTTGAAAATCCACATAATACTTCTACTGCTTTGTCCTAGATCTAATGTCAACAGGTGAGGGTGAGCGAGTTATGTAATTGTGCAGAGTAAATATCATGAAGCTTAGTTAGAAAATCATTTATTAGTGGTCCTTACTTACTAATATAGCTTCAGGTCCGTGCGTGTTTGTTTGCTTTTCACATGCTGAAATAGCTGCCTCAGCGAATGTAATTTCTCCTGTAGGCTACAAAAACTGCAGAAAGCTACAATCAAAAATGGAAGAAACAATGTACACACAGCTACGCAACGTTCAACTGCACATGAGAGCACAGCTCAGTGCAGCTGTCTATCTCACTGGGATTTGATATGGTAACGCTATGTTCTTAACCTTGCATCCATCCATGTGGTCTGCGCTGAGGTGGCGACTTGAGAAACTGCAGTAGCTCGGACGCGGTCACTCCTCTGAACACGAGATCCAGAGACTGACAGACAGTGTTCACTCAGGATGTTGTTTTCTACCGAATGGGGTGATACTGCCTTCGCTGAAGCAAAACTATTCTTGCCTAAAGGTAAGTGGGAAGGGGAGGAAAACAATAATCAGCTATGGTGAGATGCCGTTGAGTATGTGCGCGTGTAAATCCCGCAGAGTAACGTTATGTGAATGATGCTGTATATTGAATGATGCTATATTCGCGGAGTTGAATAGTTGAAGTAATGTGAATGTCACGTGAAAGTAGTCTTTCCGATTCATTAGTGGGCTAAGTTTACTTGTATTACCAAAAATATTGCGAATCATTACTACAACTTTACTCAAACACTTTATGCAACTCAATTGTCACCCATAATTTTAAGAAAATCCTTTAAACTGCTTCCAATGTATGTATATATATAGCCTATACGATATATATGTATATACGATAACTCTGCATGAAATAATGTTACAAATGTTTCTTTGAGTCGCGCGATGTGTAGAATTCAGATTTTTTTTGCATGCGCATGCACTTACATCTCTGCATATGCATATGTTAATTGCAGGGCAGCTTGACATGTAACAGTGATGCTTAGCATATTTAAATCAATGCACAGTAAACTGCCTTCACAGAGCAGTTCAGTGCACAATGTACCTTTTGATGTAGTTACTTTGGCCAGATGATGGATTTAAAGGGTACAGATGCATTCATGTTGCCAATTAAAACATTTTGCAAATGAACAGTACTTTTGAGAAATATTATTAAAATGTAGATTTGCAGAAAAAGCTGTTTTATTCTACATAGAGAGGGTCATGTTTTGCTGTCATGTTGAGATCACATGACCAGCCTCATCATGCAGTTAAGTTAACAATAATTAATAGTGTAATAACAAAAACAATATTGTTTTCTTTATGCTTTCAGTCAGTGCTCATGGCTGATGATTTATGAAGAATGAACATAAAACTACATGTAAACAAAACATCAAATCTAACAATAACAAACACAATGTACACAACTTCATAGTCTAGAAAAGAGTAGGAGAATTTGGACCTTTTTCACAGTCATCCTAATGGGAAAATGTGTCCCAATTTACCTGAAGTCACCTGGATCAGCATGTGCACAGTCCACCAGACAGTTCAGACAGAATGAGTACAAGTGTAGATATAAAATGTCCAAACAAACAGTCTCTGCTGCCTGGAGTGATTAAACAAACTGTGACGGCCAGCAGCTTCCATGTCACAGATCAAGGAAAAATGCCTCCATTCAACGCACAGCGACCACAGGGAAAATAACTCACGGCAGTCTGATCACAGTACAGAGCAGCAGCCAGACCGCTTTACTAGTATAAACGCATCAAAATTAATTGGCATTGAATCCAAGAATGTCTACTATAGATGTATGTAGCATGAGACAAAAATAGCAAAACAAACATCATGCATCAACAGCAATAGGTGTCATTAAGTCCAAAACCATACAGGCACAAATTCAAAACTCACTGAGTGCACCTTTAAAAGTGAGAACTAATAAAGTGCTGTAGGTTACATATGCATACAACACAAAACATTTGGTGGTTTATATGTACTTGCCAGAAACAGTTTGAAGGAGCCTTGTGTTACTGAGCAGGTCTGTAAGTGCACTGAAATGAACCCTTGTCACCTTACGATTTGAAGGAATCTGCTGTGAAGAGTGAAGAAGTGCCAGTGTGATTAGGATGAGCCCTCCAACGCAGCACTGTTTTAACTGTCATTAAAGTAATGATTCAAAGATGAGGGCATTAGCTATGTGAGAGCGGATGACACAGTCTGTTGAATGTCTCATATTTGATTAAAGGAAATTATGTGGTTTATGAAAATCCTAACTTCCCACACATGCATTTCATTTCTAAAAGACTGTCTAAAAGAACAGTTTGACACTTGGAGCTGATGTTTGATTTAGACTGTAGACCAATAGAATAAAATATTTTATTGATTTATTGTGTATTCAAGCTAGAGGTCTTATGAATATCTTAATGTTTTACATACATCGGGCATATATCAACCACTACTTGTTTTTCCCCTGAAAACCTCACACCCTTAAGGCATGGGAAGACAATAAGGGCTATTTTGGTCAGCAATCTTTCCATATTTCACCTCTTCTATTTGACATGTTTATTGTTTCTGCTCGTGGATTTCCCCAAGCCATACATGAATGCTTAATCAGTTTGGCCACAATTTTCATTTAGACATTGTTCGAAAGCGCAATTACGATTTCGAACAATTACATCTTGAACAGATTCCAGTGGCGGATTCATTATGCAGTCACAAAGCATGATGGAACTATAGTGTCATGAAGGAATACATGTTCTAAAATATTGATGTAAGCACCTGTAGTAAAATATGGATTTAAGCTTTTCGCTCACATTAAATATGAATAAATTATTAAAGACTTCATTAGATTTCGCTCCCAGCAAGATGCATATCAAAATGCAAATACTTTGATCATTAAAACAGAGTAGTTGAAGTAAGGATCATTTAACAGTCCAGAATCCAAATTGTGAAGGAGAAGTGTTACAAGCAGTGCTATATTTTACATCTCAGCACAAATGCTTGCAGAAAATAGTATGTTTCTGAAGATTTAGACTTCAGAAGGATAGAGTATGACACTTCTTATAGGCATGCTAACCCTGGGCAGATGGGGGGAAAATCAATTAGATCTTTCCTCATTGAGAAAAAAACTATTTCACAATTGTAACTCTCTGCCAGTGGGCTGTAACATTTTTACTAAATTGAAATGTTACACAGGACATGTCAGGAACGTTGACATCTTTCCAGCCTGAATCTACCTTAGTCTACCATTTCAAAGTCAGCCCTGCCACACCAGAGATGGCGAATTACATATTTTCTCTGGCATGTCATTTCAGCTAAAAATATGATTTATTACACAATGTCTACTGACAAGAATCTGTGGTAAATTGTCTTTTTCACTGTTTTTCTGGGTCATCTACATGTGGTAATACCAGCAGACTGTACAGTGGTCAGATATTTCTTAATATTTGTGCCATCCGCTATTGGCATTGCTGTATATGGGCAACTGAAACAGATGCTACTTTCATGTCTCTTGTATCTCACCTCGAGTGAATAAGTTTCACTTCACAAATAGGCTATGAATAATGACTTTTATTTCGTTCGCTAGTAGTCCACCTTTCTGTGATGAAAGGCAGTGGGCTCTGGCCATGGTAGTTCACTGCTTAGGGGCCGTTCACACAGAACACATTTTTGCATTCTACTGCACTGTTTTTACCAATGCGTCTTGCGTCTTTTGCAGCATCTCGAACATGACACAACCTTATAAAAATGTTTAAGGGCATGTTTACACAACAAAGATTGCACTAAAAATGGAAAAGTTTTCTTTGCATTTTTGAAAAGTTTCACGTACAAATGACAATGTTGATGACAATGATCCCACATGGATCCACAAAAACAATTAAATACATTGTATTATGTTTGCCAAGCCAGTAGGCGATGTCACTTTGTAAAGAAACACTACGCACATGCGCAGATATGAATTTGTTTAGACAGAACATGTAATAAGCATGTGTATGACGTAACCGGTGTATGACGTTTCGTAGACAATAAGTATCATTTTCAAAAACTTGCACTTTGACACCCGTTTTCAAAAGTTAGCATTTTCAGCAGTTCCCAAAACACATTTGTTGTGTAAATAAACTACCAAAATGTTCAGTTCTTAGTTGAAAACAGTGTCATGTAAACACCCCCTAATAAAAAAAAAGTTCATAAAAAAAAGGACTCTAGACTAATTCTGTGAATATGCTGGAGCACTGGGTTTTTAAAATTTGTGTCAAGTTCAGGTAAAAGAGGTTCTCTTTCCATTGCATTTTCAAAGCATTTTCCATTGTGTCTCGGGGTTTTAAAGTGTTTCATTGTAGCCTGGATATCATTATTTTATTCCAGTTGACAGCACTGAATATCTGTAGAAGCTGAATTTGTAAATGTCCTTTTTCTCATTTTTACAGCTGTTGCAGTCCAGTGAAGATCTTTCTTGTTATTGTGTAAGTGGTGTAAAGCGGACAAAAGAGCACTCAATAACATGGCTGATGTCAGCAAGAACAGCTCCTTTAATCAGAGCTCAGAATATGGAAATGTCTACAGACCACAGACAGTGTTCAGCGTCTTGACGTTCACCCTGCTGGCCATGCTTATGGTGGCTACATTTTTCTGGAACATGCTCGTCCTAGTCACAATTCTCAGAGTCAGAACGTTCCACCGCGTGCCCCACAATCTGGTGGCCTCCATGGCTATATCTGATGTTATGGTGGCTGCTTTGGTGATGCCTCTCAGTCTAGTCCATGAGCTGAACGGTCGTCGATGGAAGTTGGCCCAAGTTCTCTGCCAAGTCTGGATATCCTTTGACGTCCTGTGCTGTACAGCCAGCATTTGGAACGTGACCGCAATAGCCCTCGACCGTTACTGGTCCATAACTCGCCACCTGGAGTACACGCTGAAGACCCGAAAGAAGATCTCCAATGTGATGATCGGCTTGACCTGGCTGCTGTCGTCTGTTATTTCCCTGTCCCCTCTGTTTGGCTGGGGTGAGACGTATTCAGAGGAGGACATGGAGTGCCAGGTGAGCCAGGAGCCGTCTTACCCCAGCGTCACTACCCCCTCCTACCCTGCGAATTTCGAGCCCCGGGATGCCCCCGTTGCTTGGAACAAAGCGATAGAGTTAAATCGTTGCGCTGCGCTGCGCGAGCCGTCTTATACCATCTTTTCCACATTCGGGGCCTTCTATCTGCCTCTTTGTGTTGTGCTGTTTGTCTACTGGAAGATATACAAAGCTGCTAAGTTCCGTATTGGATCAAAGAGGACCAACACCATCACTCCAGTTGCAGAGGCTGGAGAGGTACAGATGATATGCTTTCTTTTTAGCAACTTTTTAGGTTATTTATCCCTCACACACCAGTGTACTGGCATTTTAATACAGTGTAGAGAATTTTTTTCTCAAGATTGCTGAATGTAATCTATTGTTTCAGATCAGACTGTTCCTATTTTACCTGTCATTATTTTACAGAATGTTACTAGACAGTAGGGCTGTCAAAAAAAAACGAATTTCGAATATTCGTCAAATAACCCCATTTTGGAGATCTCCGGTCTGCAGTTATACCTACTTGGAAATGATGCCTTTTAAATTTGAATATACTGTATTGGCCCGAATATAAGACGACCCCCCCTTTTTTCCTGATGTACCTTTTGGAAAAAGGCTTTTTAAAAACCAAATCTTGTTTTTTCTCAGTAAAA